ACACTGATCTCTCTCTCTCACACACACACACTGATCTCTCTCTCTCTCTCACACACACACTGATCTCTCTCTCTCTCTCTCACACACACACACACACACACAGTAATATATTAAACAAATCTCTTTCTGCACCATGCAAGTAAACAGCTCATGAAGGAGTCCACACACTGATCACACAAACACACACGCTGATCTCTCTCCCACACACACTGATCACACACACACTTAAATTAAACAAAGCTCTTTCTGCAACATGCAAGCTCATGAAGGAGTCCAGACACACACACTGATCTCTCTCACACACACAGGAGTAATGAATGCACCGTTATTGTACTTTACCTTACAGTAACTGCACTCGAAAACAAACCCCAGGATCTGGCCAGAAGATTAGCACCAACTGTCATCAAGCTGAATGGAGCCATGCTGCGAACTCTCATACACTCACACACTCACTCACTCACACACTCTCTCTCACACTCTCTCTCTCACACTCTCTCTCACACTCTCACACACTGTGACCTGGAGTGTGAATTACAGAATGTCAGAGAAATAACCGATAAAACAACACAAGTCGCTGAAGTTTGCGGAATTGTTGTGTTTGTTAGCTCCAGGAAGCCCCCTGCCCTCTGCACCAGCATGGAAGGCGCCTTCTGCAGCCCAGGTGCATTGTGGGATACCGACAGACTACTCTGAAATTCACAGAGGCACATTCGTCCTGTTTTTAATTGTAGATATATAAATAAACCTGGCTGGAAAGAACCCCATGTCCGAGCAGTTTAAAATGCATGCAAAAACAACATGATTGAAAATGTGCAGACTTTTATCTTTATTTAGTTTTTTTTTCATAATTTTTTTATTATTATTTTGTAATATGTACTGACGATGCTGTTGTTTGTGTTGTATTCTTTGTTGCTATTAATAATTTTTAAACAAACAAACAAACAAACAAACAAACAAATAAATAAATACCTTCTGTTTACAGGTTAATGAATGAAGTATGAAAGAAGGGGCGTATAAAATAAATGAATAAATAAAAACTATAATAAGCCCCAGGGTTATTTTTATGAATGTAATTGTTTGTGACATTTATTTTTTTAAAAACGTTGTTTAAAAAACTCAAATGTGAAAAAAAAATAAAGTAAAAACATTTTTTTTAAATTATGTTTTCGTGTATTATTTAAATATCATTTATCTAAACACTACTCTGTGTGTGTGTGTGTGTGTGTGTGTGTGTGTGTGTGTCCATTACAACGACGAATCTAACACTAATGAATGAACGCCTTGTTCACCAAATGAACTCGCCTGACGTAAGACTTTTATTTTGACGTTGGCTCGATCCTAAACCGCCCCCTGTTTCCACACGCAGTGCACTAGCTAGGGGCTCTACACGCCACTGCGTTTATATCCTGCGTCATTGTAAGTGTACATGCACACGGAGTGTCGAGTGGTTTGGGATTTAACCCCCTCGATCCAGGAAGTAGAAGTTGCTCGAGTCTCGGTCTCATCATCTACACCAGCTTCTCTCAGGGAAACACAAAGTATTGTTAGCTCTTCTATAGCAATAAACTTGGACACATTAACGGCAGGCTTCTTGAGCTGACTCACACACACACACACACACACACTCCGGTGCTATGGCGTTAAAAAGAATACAGAAGGTAAGAAGTGGATATCATGGAGGAATTTGACAGTCAGGACAGATAGGAGGGTAAAGTTTTCTCCAGGCAGCTAACCTAGCATTTATTTATTTATTTATTTGTATATTTGTATATTTATTTATTTATTTATTTAGTGGCTTCTTCCAGGAACGCTAATGCTATATACCGTATGTCTATGTGCTGTTTTATTTCTGTTTACACACACACACACACACACTCACACACTGAATGTAGTGTAGTTAGCATTCTAGCTAAACAACATACTAAAGATTAGCCAGTAATGTTAACCACTTAGCTAATTCCTGGACCGTGTTCAAGCTACTGCGTTGTATTTCTATCGTGTTAAAGCTAGGTTTAAATATTATAGATATAAATAGACCTCTTCTACATGGAAACATTAGTGCGCTTTGTCATTGGATGTGAGATTTGCTCGCGTTACTTTGTTGTACTCGGACGTGACGTGACTTTGTTTATTTGTTTGTTTGTTTGTTAGCTTTAGCTCGGTTTAACAGTAGAAGGCTAGTTTTGCGTTTGTTATCCGTTTCCTTGTTTATGAGTATGTTCATGTTTTTGGTCAGAATGTTAACAAAAAAATAAACTACATGAAAACATAATATTTCTGTAACTTATCTCCATCTTAGCTTATTTAGCTGTTTTGTTTGTTTGTTTGTTTGTGTGTGTGTGTGTTTGTCAGTCTCGAGAAAGGCCCAGGCTGAACAAAGCTGGGAATGAGCTAGCTTAGCATTTTGTCTACACTTTGTTGTTCTTTCTCATAGCTCCATGTGAACTGGTTGGCATTGTGAGAATTCAGGAGTGTTCCAGTTTTACTAAAAGCCCTGCTGTGTCGTTTTCACTTGAAACTACTTCCGGTGTTGGGGAATGTGGAAGTGGCTCTGACTTTGCTCGAGATATGACGTCACAGGTTGCCACGCAACCTCCCCTCGGGGTAAAAGGGCAATAACAGTCATTCAGTATTCAGTAGTTTGATGGTATGTACAGTATATACAGTACATACCTACTATAACTTCCAGCTAAGTTAGAGAAAACACAAAACACAGGCCGAGCAGGTGGAAGCTGGAATGATACACTAAACGGCTAAAAGTTTGTGGACACCTGACCATTACATCCAAACTCTTGCCCCAAAGTTGTACTGGATGTCTTTGTATGCTGTAGTATTATAATTACCCGTCACTGGAACTAAAAAAATTGTGCTTGTCTTGCTCGGTGGTCCCCGGAGGACTAGTGGTTAGGATTCAGCGCTCTCACCGCCGCAGCACGGGTTCGATTCCCCGCCAGGGAACCAACTCCAGCCAGCGAGGTTGCACAAGACGGAGCATTCCCAGCGCCGGTCCCAAGATTGGTAAGGGAGGCATCAGGAAGGGCATCCGGTGTAAAAACTGTGCCAAATCAAATATGCAGACCAATGATCCGTTGTGGCGACTTCTAACGAGAGCAGGCGAAAGAAGTCTTGCTCTGTTAGCACGTTTGTAGGTCTGTGTAGTCTTTAGTTAGATTTGTGTAGTCTCAGGTAGATTTCTGTTGTTTTATGTAGCACCACGGTCCTGGAGGAACGTTGTTTCATTTCACTGTGTACTGTACCAGCGGAATATGGTTGAAATGACAATAAAAGCCACTTGACTTGACGTGTTCCAGCATGACAGTGCCTCTGTGTACAAAGCAAGCTCCATGAAGACATGATGTGCCAAGGTTGGACTGGAAGAACTTGAGTGTCCTGCACAGAGCCCTGACCTCAACCCCTCTGAACACCTTTGGGATGAACTGGAACACCAACTGCATTCAGTGCCTGATCTCACTAACAATCTTGTGGCTGAATGAGCACAAATCCCCACAGCCACACTCCAAAATCTAGTGGAAAGCCTTCCCAGAAGAGTGGAGGTTATTCTAACAGTAAAGAGGGAACATGGCTATGTTAATGCTCAGGTTTGGAGTGGGTGTGTTGGTCAGGTGTCCACATACTTTTGGCCATATAGTGCATCTACAAATTAACATTAGCAGTAAACGATCAATCCTGTTACTTTTCTGAGAATAACATTGTTGACATTCATACTGGAATATTAGACACCCTAAAACTATAAAAATGAATTTTAAAAAAATTGATAATGATTTGAACTGACATTAAATGTGTAAGGAAATTAGACTCTAGAGTAAAAAAATCCCTGAGCAAGACCGAGAGCAATCACTAGCTGGCCATATAGTAGTTAGTATAGTAGGCCATAAAGTTAATTACTTTCACTTCACAATCACTACAATAACTTCCTGCATTCCTGGATGTTTAACGAGCGCAGATTCAAACATAATCTGCAACAACACTTTACTGTAAGAATCTTTTTTTTTAAACTTCAATCTTCTCTACCTCCTCCCAACACATCTGAACCAATCAATCAGAGCACTGAAGCTCTGGCAGGTGGTTTACCTCATCCCCAAATACCTGATTCTGTATTCAAAGAATGCTAAAAATAGCTCCAAATTTATACTTGAGATACTTAAACACCAAACACCCAGTACTCACGTTACTTCATTACAAAATCCTTGCCCTTGGTGTACCTGAATGCTGAATAACCAGTACCCATGACACCTAAATGCCAGAACCTGGTTACTTGAACACTAAATATTTATAATAAACACCCTGTACTCAGGAACATGATATCACACCACTTAATTCTGTCCATCAGAATGCTTTGTTATGGTGTATACCTATTCAAAATGTTGTGAACACTGCATTCCAGGTTCTCCATAATCATTAAGCTTTTTATTTTTATTTTTATGATGTGTGTCTGTGATTCAGGAGCTTCAAGATTTGCAAAGGGACCCTCCTGCACAGTGCTCGGCTGGACCTGTTGGAGATGACCGTACGTCTATTGATCTGTCTACTATAGGCCTATTTGATAAAACCTGTTATTAAATAACTCATTTTATTTTTTTATTGGTAGGCTGTGGCCCTTAGATATTACAGTTAATGTTATGGTTTTCTGTGCTTTGCAGTGTTTCACTGGCAGGCAACAATAATGGGACCTGTAAGTATTTTCTCCTTTTAAGCTGATTTTGATCTTTGTTTTTGATTATAAGAACGCAATGGTCCTCTGCTAAGATTTCCCCAAAATGAAGGCTCCAATACAGGATGCTAAGCAAAGCTAAGGTGGCATTAATTTTCCTTCATTTCTTTTCTCCCTCTAACAGACTGATAGTCCATACCAAGGAGGGGTCTTCTTCCTTACTATCCACTTTCCCACAGACTATCCCTTCAAGCCTCCAAAGGTAATTAGGAGTAACCCAGTCTGCCTCCACATCGTTCGATGGCGATTTGATTTAACGGACGTTTTCTGCTTTTAACAGGTAGCATTTACGACAAAAATTTATCACCCAAACATAAACAGTAATGGAAGTATTTGCTTGGACATCTTGAGGTCACAGTGGTCCCCGGCACTAACAGTTTCAAAAGGTATAGACATTTCATTATAAGTATCGCTACGCATTAATGTATGAGAATTATACCACAGTGCTGTTGAATTCTTGAATCTGATTGGTCAGAAGGTGTTGATTTGTATGTTGACGTTTATTTTAAAGCGCTTGTTCCGGTACGTTATCGTTTCTATAGTAACAGCTCATACACAGGGACTTGTACGGCGGACATTCTACGTAATCTGAGACTAATAAAAAAAAAAAACAACAGTTTTAAGACGTATTGTTATTTAACAAACATCTAATCACTGATATAGTGAGGTTTTCTGTAAGGAGACATCTATGTAACATTTGTGGAAGGAGTCTCCAGTGTCAGCGCTTTGTAACAATCAGTAACAGGAAGTCTTCAGGATAGAGGACGTTGCACTTTTCTAGTTTTTATTTTGAAGAACGGGGGGAAAAAAGAGGTTGGCGAGGGAACGATTATTTATAGTTGCTATTACCTAAGTGATAACAGGAACTAACTTGTCTCACGGACGTTTCAGAGCGATAAATGTAACTATAAATCGATAAAAAGCACATCACTCATTAATAACTTAAAAATGGTAATAGTTGGCAAATCGCTGTGGTATAAGAGGAATAAAACAGTTCGGGGCACGCTGTTATTGGAAAATAATCAACTTCCGTGTGGTAAAAGTGTCTCTGCTATGCATTGGGCCACCACCCGGTTGTTGATTATTTTCCTTTGACAGCACACCCCGATGTGTTTATTCCTTACACACATTTATATATTGTTTCAAACCTTAGTATTTCTTAAATTGTAAACACTGCTTTGTTTTGTTTTTGTACAGTTCTATTGTCCATATGCTCCTTGCTCTGTGACCCAAACCCTGACGACCCCTTAGTCCCAGACATAGCACACATCTACAAATCAGACAAAGAAAAGTAAGTACATTACTGCAGAATGTCATACACCTGATTTCTGTTCTTGTAATATGTATAAATTACTATTATCCTCCATAAGATCGTTAAATCATTTTGAATATGCATTCACTGAGCACTCTGTTAGGAACACCTGTACACTTACTCATTCATGCAATTATCTAATCAGCCAATCAGGCACAGTGCATAAAATCATGCAGATACGGGCCAGCAGCTTCGGTTAATGTTCCCATCAACCATCAGAATGGGGAAAAAATGTGATCTCAGTGATTTTGACCATGGCATCATGATTGTTGGTGGCAGATGGGCTGGTTTGAGTATTTCTATAACTGCTGATGTCCTGGGATTTTCACGGAAAACTGTCTCTAGAGTGTACACACAATGGTGCAATAAAGAAAAAACATCCAGTGAGCAGCGCTTTTGCGGATAGAAACGCCTTGTTGATGAGAGAGGTCAATGGAGAATGGCCAGACTTCGGTTCGAGCTGACAGAAAGGCTACAGTATCTCAGATAACCACTGTACAATTGTGCTCAGCAGAATAGCATCTCAGATTGCACAACACATCGAACCTTGAGGCCGATGGGCTACGACAGCAGAAGAGCACGTCGGGTTCCACTTCTGTCAGCCAACAACAGAAAGCTGAGGCTGCAGCGGGCACAGACTCACCAAACCTGGACAGTTGAAGACTGGAAACACGTAGCCTGGTCTGATGAATCTTGATTACTGTTGAGGCACACAGATGGTAGTGTGAAGTTGGTGCCAACAGCATGAATCCATGGAGCCAACCTGCCTTGTGTCAACAGTCCAGGCTGGTGGAGGTGGTGTAATGGTGTGAGGAATGTTTTCTTGGCACGTTTTGGGGCCGTTAATACCAATCAATCATCGCTTGAATGCCACAGACTATCTGAGTATTGTTACTGACCATGTGTATCCCTTCATGGCCACAATTTACACATCTTTTAATGGCTCTGTGAGTGTGATTCTACACTCTTATGGGGAAAAAGATTATTATTATTGGTTCTACTGGGAATCTTTAGTGCTAGTAAAACCCTCCATTACAGAGCTCCACCGAAAACCTTTAAGCATTCCCTCTAGAGCCTTTTAAGTTGCTAAATTTAACTTTTTTCTTAAGAGTGTACTAACCTGTTACATAGCAAGTCATAACAGGTATATATGCGTGTTTGTCACTGAGGTCATTTTCCCCCCTTTTTTTGTTTTTTTTACAGATACAACAGACTAGCAAGAGAATGGACCCAAAAGTATGCAATGTGAAGACTTAATGGACATTTTTTAAGTCACAGATCACTGTCAATTCTAGTATCATAAAAAAAAGTACTTAGGTTATATTATTAAACACATTGTATTGATAACACTGACCATCTGCAATGACCAATAAGAATAGCTGAACTAGTATTTCAGAAGGGAGCGTTTTCTTTGCACAAAACAAAAATGAAGCGGTTATTCACTCTGTGCATTTGCTCCCCCCCATTTCCCCCCTTCAGGCGGTGTCGGGCACTTTGCATTTTCTCTTGTATTCAATATCATATTTAAGACTGGCATGACGTTGTACAGCTGCAGTTACCCCAGGAGAGGGAAATTAAGGACCCTTGTTTCTCATTCAATCAAGTCCATTTTCTTTAGATATTTTATTGTATAGTTAATAATGCAACTATACTTGATTTTTTTTTATTTTTCATTAAAATTTGTTTTAAAATGACACGTCTCTGTTTATGCTTTCTGTAACGTTTATACTGTATATCACCCTGATGAGGGAAAGTGGGTGTAGCCGAGTGGATTTTTCAGGCAGTCCTCAATTCTATCGCTCCTGTATACATTTCTAAAAAATGAATCACATCATCATGACTCCCGTCTACAAGTCTAGTCTTGTTTACTCGATTCCACAAAAATCTAAGGGCCGATCAAATAAACTTCACTTG